ATAACGAAAAAACATTGAAGTTAAATTCGAAAACTGTATATTAAATGAACATTAAAATCGGCAACTGTATGGTATCGGAGAGAAAAAAATTGTAATATTATAAAAGTCAAATGTACTATTCACTCTCTGATTTGGCACCATGAGTTCAACTAACGAAACAGAATATATTATACAGTAAATGTAAATTACCAATATTATAATTATTAATGCGTAATGATATAAATTTACGAATGAAACAATGAAACTGGGTTGGGGCTTTATATGCTGTGTACGATTAATTTATCTCCGCTTTACGCTGGAATTATATTTTTAATTTCAATTATAATTTGAGCTGAAATAAAATATTTTGGAGGAGTCCAAGCTATCAGTTTTCAATAGAATCACTAAATTTTATCAAGTTTTAACCTGTTGAGCAATTCTGCCCACAACTTCATCCACCAACCACATCTTGCATAGTATATCCATATGCAAAACACACAAATTATTACTAGATTTATACAGGTCCTGGCTTAAGACTTGATAAAAAGTTTCAAAATGTCTTGGAATTCTTCATCTTCACCTTCCAGTTCCTGCTATGGGGCATTTCTACCTTTAGCTGTTTTTTTTTCGTAATGTATAGATACTTTTAAGGATATCATACCGAATGGACAAACACGTTTACTAACATTTTAAATTATGCTCTTTTTGTTGTAAAAACATTTTATACAGTGGGTTTATAATTGAGATACCTATGTCGTTTTCGACTGTTTTTTAAAATCAGGATTCTAAAACTGAAATATCAAATATATGAAGCCACTCGTTAGAACTAAATATCAACTTTTATTTTCTATAATAATAAAAGATACTTAACAAACATATACTAATTTGAATAATAAACAAACCGATCCAATTCAATTAAGTTTCTTCACTACATAAATGCTCAATATGTTCTCCATTAACTAACTTACAATATGCTGAACGGAACTGAAACTCATTTTGATCAATCCTAATTTAAGTCTGCTAATAGTCTTTTTTTATTACAACTCAGAACACTTTCAACAACAACTTTTACAGTTTTTTCTTAAACATCCGGCGAGCTAGGAGATCATTGAAATGGTTGCTCTTCTTCGAATCGATTAGCCTCGAAATATGTCATCCATATTGTTACGGAGTGATGTTACAAAATAAGGATTTTGTTGAAATGAGATTTTTCTCTTCGGAACATCGCCAAATTGGGAGCTAGTTCCTCCAGCAACTTACCGCAAAAGTTCCAAATATCCCGAAAATTAATATGTCCTTGCAAGAAAATCGTCTTATTACTCGAGCACGTTTACTTTTCCCGGCCCAACCACTAGTAGTTTTTCTTCATGCAGTGTGGGTTTTTGTTTGCCCGATAACGACAACTTCGACGATTTACTTTACCATTTCACCGAAACGATAATTACTCCGAAAGCAGTACGATGTCTATGTTTACAAGATGTCTGTCTAGTAGATTCATTAGTTGTTGCAAAGTGAATCGTCTATCCGGATGATCTTCGATAAATTGTTGGAAAATTTACATGGTTATTTTGTAAGAATTAAATTTTAGAATTTTTATGATTCTCTAGAGATATACCGAGTGGAAACGTGAGGGTTTTCTGAACAGAAACAAGAACACTAATTTTAACATTTTCATTGAAGATTGAACACACTTTGACGATGATTGATTTTTCTAACGCGATCATTTTCTCGGAATTGTTTACGTTACGTTGCAATATGGGACGATCAGGATATTTCTCTCTGAGCGATAAATGAGTAACTTCGTTTTCCGATTTTATTCTACCACTGTAGCTAATCTTCATTAGAATTTCAGGTTTCAGTGTTTGATTGACTTTTCAATATAATAAATGTTTTCGCTATTTTGGAAACTTCTCTAGTGTTTTTCTGACTCAATAGCTTAAGCCAAGTGGAAAACCTTGTAGTTTTTATTGGTTTGAGCAAAGTGTTGGCATAACGCTGTATTTCAAAGTTTTTTATTCAAAATAAAGCTTGTGTCTACGATTTCTTAAAACAAAAGTGTTTTGCACTAAAAAAGTACTTGCTCCAGTAGGACAACAGTGTATTTTCCGAATATACTATATGTCCAAAATATAGCTACCTTACTACAATATGCATAGCTTCATCAGACATCCTATTTTTCCTTAAATTATGCCTATATTATCATTATTGACAATTAACCCGAATGAAAAACATAATTAATTTGTATATATTTTGTTGGTTTCATCTGTTTAAATGCATGTGGCTGAATAACTTACAAACATGTACCGCAGCAAAATAGCAGAACATTGTTTTTCCATTCATGTATTTGCAAAGACGCTTAATGGAGCTTATCGAAGTTCTGGAAGTCAAAAGTTTTAAAGAAAAAGAGATAATCTCTAAGCTTGGAGTAAGTTACTCGTTAGATAATCGACAAGTTAACTATGTGGCTTTAGCCCGCAATAAAAAGCAATGATTGCACTTTTTTTAAAGTTGTTTTGTTGCTGTCGAAATTTAATCGATAAAATTGTGGTCCAAGAACTAAAGTTATCTTATATATTAAACGAAGGACAATTGTGCCGCAATTAATCTTTTTATTATCTGAACAAAAATGCCAGAACTACTTAGGAGTAAAACTTACCGAGCAAACAGTTCGTTAAGGATGCGTACGAGTTCTTCTGCTGTGCACTGATCCGATAAGGTCGTGAACCCGCAAATATCGGCGAACAGGATGCTGCAACAGAGAGGAAAATGTAATGGGACCGTAATTTATGAGCCTCATGTAAATGCAAGTTCTTCTCATCCAATCGTAATTTATCTTATCTGATTTTTGTGCCATTCTACAGCGCTCTATAGGTCAACTGACAATTGCATATTGGGTGGAACCATTCACATTTGAAAGTTGGAAAAAACTCAAATAATATAAAAATAATAAATCTGAATCGGAAATTTGATTGAGTTTTTACCTAGTTCTTTGTATCTGCTTTTAACGATGCATTGATATGTGCACACATATCTCACACAACATGTGAGATTGGTTGAAAAGCCGAAACGAAATGAAATATTTGATTTGGGCGTAAGTCTGGAAATTTGATAAAAACAAGTACTCTTATACAATTGAAGGCAATTCACCAAAATGAAATGTCGCAAAAAGACGCTTTTATTGATTAGAAGCGTGATAGTAATTAACTTAAAAAAAAACGCAAATCCACATTTTTTTTACACAAGTAATAAATAAAAAGTTAAAAAATAATTTACTCGATATGAGTGATAAATATGATCGGTATTTTAAGAACATGTATTGAAATACAATGCAATAAAACTATTTATTTTCCACTTAAAAATATTTTTTCGAAAGATTCAATTAATTTCAATTCTCTACTAAACACTGTCGCTTCATATACCTACTTCCACAAGAAAAGAAAAAGAAAGTAAAAAACGGCAAATATTGAAAAAAATTGAAGAGAACGCGTTTTTATCAAAAAACTGCTGATTTTTACCCATGCTTTTTGCGTTGAAGAATTTTAACTTTTCTGAAATGGATGTCATGTTAAATAAGACTTGCCCCTACTTACCCAACCGTGGGTTTTTGCTGAATTTTCTATGTAAACCTGGATCATACATAGTTATGTGACAGTGATAAACGCGTTATTTCAGATTTGCCATAGAAAGTACAACAAAACAAGTCGACCTTTACCCATAAAAATGTAATCGAAATATAGAGGTTCATACGTGCAGCGTTTAAAGTGCAATTATAGATCCTACATAGAGTGTCGCTCTTAATTTTCGTAAAAAAATATTATGAACGTTTCTAGGTTGATAAAAGTAGGTACAGATTTCGAGATGTGTTAGTCGTCATCAGCTGGATTTAGCTTAAAACGTAACTCCCGAAATATGCATTTGAATTGCGCTCATGTATTTTACATCAGTTGAGGGCTAATAGCTCGAAACCGGCCATAGTTTATATAAGTAATAGCAATTCTTAATAATTTGCGAGCGAGCAAAAAAGTGGTTTGATTTCTAATAAAACGTCTATTATTAGACATCCCGAAAAATGACTATACATTTGTTATTCTATTCTGTCGAATACCTATAAACATTTTCCAAAATTAAGCCTGATAAATTTTCTCTTATACCGACTCCCGCTTTAATGACTTCAGCATTTACGAACGTAATGCTTTTGAAATATTCAACGCGACTAAAGCTTATAACTTTTAAATAAATACGAATCATCCACTTCTGAGCAAGCAAAATAAGCAGTAACAAATTTACAGAAAAACTTTTTTTTAAGAACAAGCAGTGTACGTCTTTAACGAAAAACAATACTTGGCATACTATTCGCCTGTAAAATGTCTATTTACTCAAAAAAACTCTTTATATTTGCCTCAATTTTTATTAATTGAATCAACTTTCCCGGTTTTGCAATAACTTTTCACATGTACCAGATCAAAACAGGACGGTTCGCTTAATTGTTTCTACTGTGTAATTTGATTAAACTCATCGGCAATTTTCCAATATTTTATTGCCATTATACTCGATTTTATATTCGTTTAATTTCAGTAAAATTAACAGTTAATCGTAAATTAAATTTATTAGTTTATTAGTGTATAGAATCATATATTCATTTTATTTACATTTATCCACTGAATAAAAATCAACATGATCGTCTGGCAAATGCGAATTGAGTTGATTTTCGAATGTGTCAATTTAATTATCATTTATTATACTGTTAAGTATAATATAGGCGGGTTAATATCGGTGCCAGTTTCTAGTTGAATGAATGAAATTTGTTTGATGGCGGAATATTTTCGAGTTCAACGTCGGCTTTAATTAGGATTTCCAGAAAAGTGTCGGTTAACTTCATATTAGCTTTTTCTTTTATCCCAATTCATGTCCAAAGAAACGTTGGGTTCATGCGCCAGTTTGTAATATCAGCAATGAAATTCTAAGATGTAAGCAGTGGAAGTGGAGTGCAAAATACGTTTAATGCTTTTATTAAGTTTACAAAGAAAGTGGCTTTTCCTTTGATACGGAAATAAGGAACGAAAAGGTGTAATAAATACGTTTAGGTTTTCCTTACTGATTCATTTACTCATTCAATGTATTAGTGTTAAATAAATTAAAATCTCAAGCACAATTAACTAATTATAAACAAAACGTAAATTTTCCAAAAGGTGAAATTGTCTTGGGACTTCAATTGGGTTACAAAGGATTGAGATAAAAAAGCAAGGGGTTCTTAATAGGTGTCTATATTTGGAGCGCTGGAAAAAAAATCGTTTGACCAATAGTCCAAATACGCCTTTTAACGGTGTCAGAGAGCTCTTAAAGGCTTCTTAACCGGTTCAGTTAGAGGACTGAAGCAATAAAATGTTGTACAGATTTTATGGGTTATTTTTGATATTATATTTTCATGATTTTAGAAAAAGTAGAAAAAAGAAAATAATAAATAAAAAAGTCTAGAATAAAATAAATTTTTAGTTATACAACAGGGAAATTTGAAAAATTATCTAAATGAAGAAGTGACATAAATCTTACTTAGAATTTCATTTACGTCATAAGAACCTCTAAAAAATCGGTAACATTTATCTTATTTATATATTTATTATAGAACATTCATTCAGAACAGAAAAATTATTTTATCAAATTTTCGGAAGCCTATACTTGTACCTCGATGCTCGAAATTTACGAACATTTTTTAAGAACTTACACACAGAAAAACATTGTGACTAACTGCTTTTACCAACACTTACCTTACATTATCATGCCTTTGAATGTAGATTTTGTGGAATTGTTCTTCTTTAGGTTGACCGGCAATGTCGGCTTTCATTTCCATTGCCACATGTCGAGGCAGTACTGACAAAAGTAGCCTTTCCTAAAAGAAAACAAACTAAAATTTAAATATAATAAAAAATTTATTTTGTTAAATTATGTTATTATTATTGTTGGTCAAATTGGAACTTATTCATCAATTTAATAAATTTGATTAAATTTGTGAAGAGCATTGTATTGAAGACTCATCTTCTTCAGTGATTATTACAATTTCTCGCATTAAGCAGGAATTGAAGATTATCAATGGATGGTAACGTAATATTGTATAGGAATAGATTTGTAAGAAATGATTATAATCGATGTTGCTGTTTTTCTGCTTGTCAATGAACGGCAATAAAGAATTATTGACTACATGCTTGAAAAATGGCTTTCTCTTCACAAAAACACAGCAGGATATTTGCAGCTGTAATTAAAATTGTTACAATACATACATTCATAATATATGTAGTCCAGCCTAATAATTTTGAGTATAAAGCCCATCACAACGTTTTTTTTATGCGAAAAGCACTTAAACAGGAATAAAACGGAGTAGACGAGAGCATTTTGTCCGCTCTCGTTGTACTCTGCTCCACCTTTGAGAATTCTTATCTCCAATGCAAAGAACAAATTACACGGAATTTTGCTTTATGCCAGAAGAAATTAAATCTATAAAAATGCTTTCATGTGAAAAATGGTCTTCGATAATCAAGCCCATATAAAAACTGTTTACAAAAGTATCCGATTTTGGTTAAAGAAATATTTTGCTTTATATGTACACAAGCAGCAGCAGTTTAAATTATTCATCTCTATACATTTTACTAAGTGCTTTCGTAAAAGAGAAGAATGTAGCTCATGCATATAAAATATGCAAGTACTTTAAAATATTTCATGGACTTAACGGACAATGGAGATAAAGAAGATTGTATCTACTTCAGCTGGCAAATTTGCAGTGTCGAAATTACTCGGCTTTTGTTAAGAAAGGAGCATTTCAGTCTTCAATATTATTGTCGTTGTAAGAACCATCAAGTTCTGAAGTATACTCATATAGAATAATGTCGAACCCGAACGGAGTTTGCGATATACAAATGTGGAAATAATTCCCGTTTTTCATAAGAGAGCAAATATTTATCATAGGTATTTGATATTTCAACTTCAATTTCAATAACGGACTTTGCTTTCGACCTTAAGCAACAAAACAACATTTGTGTATTAACTCATATGAACTAATTCTAACAGAATTTCGCCAAGTTGTTTTATTAGTTCTGTGCTGGATAGTTAGATTAACGAACACTGGGTTAAATCGGGCACAATATGTAGTCCTAATCTTTCAGCTAGACCAAGTGACGGCAAGTATTGTTGCATGTGTGTTTTCGTTATCGAAATTTCCTTTTGTGTTGAAAAGTTACTGATTACTGCCAATGTGTTCAGATTTCAATAGAATAAGAAGTAGGTATTTTTCGGAAATACGGTTTTTAAAGTGCGTAAATAAATAGTGAAATAAACGAACACGAAACAGAAATAACTAAATATGAGGTTATTCAAATAATAAAGGACCCACCACGGGCCACGACAAGATTAACGCCGAAGCACTTAAATTAATTGCGAAAAGCGAAAGCAAAGCTTTTACTCAAGATAACATTAGAAGGAATTTCAATCAACCGGGAACTGTTAGTGTAATGTAGAAATACTCGATGATAACGAGTCGTTGAATGCGTTTGAAACAGACTGAGTAAATTTAAATAATAAAGAGACACAAAACAATCAATGAAAGCTACATATTAAGGCCAAACAACTTTAATCAAGTTCCTTCAACCCACTTTGAGAAACAAAAAGACGATAATTTTAAATGAAACTTCGAACAAGGACAATTCGTTTTTGAAAAAGACGTATTCAAGGTTTCGCTAAGTGAGTCCTTATAGTTCGTCATTAAAATTTCGCTTTTTTAGCCTGGTAAATTCCTCGTTTGTGTTAAAAACCTAAATTAAAAAATGAGTGTTTTATAAAAAAAATCATTAAGAACTTTATTACCAGAACGAACTACTAAGCAAAGTTCCACCCACTTAAAATGTAACTGATTCGTCTCATCGTGTAACTTTATTTCGCATTCCACAAAAAATTACGTGCACTGTTTTAACTTCAACAAAATTATTTACTGCACAACTAAAAGCAGATAATGAACATTTGAAACGCGAAATATTTATAAAATACCTTACGCAAGTATTTTAAATAATTTCATATAATTGTCTGAAACATTATTTGAAAATTTGCTGATTTGCCAAGTTTCCGTTATAATAACCACTTAAAAACGCGTTAATAGAAAAATGTAAAGGTGCAATTTAAGCAAGGTCGCCTGCCTAATCCGCATAAAAATCAATTTACCATAATAGGGTTTTTCTTATCCGGGAAATTCACGCAGCCACCTGAACTTTTAACATCCTATGTTGCTGCTTACAATGGCATTTTTCGCGACTAAATTAAAGTGGAAAATATCTTTACGGTAAGACAAACACTTTAGAAGTTTTTCTATTAAAAGGTAATCACTCTTCCCCGCTGCGGTTAAAAAATTGACAATGAAAACTCAGCATTGTGTTGAAACGGCGTAGTTAGTTCAGCACAAAATAAAGCAATTTAGAATTGTATTCATTACATACACATTTTGAGTTACACAAAGTGAGCGAGTATAATGTCGTGTCCTGAAATATTTAATATTGGTAAAGTAAGTAAAGTTAACTAAGTTTCCAACTATAAGAAGCCAATTAGGAATCAAGTGCATGGAAACTGCACCTGACGAAACAAAGAAAATTGTTAATAAAATGCAAACGAGAGAGTATAAAGAAATTCTCGCCATTCGTAAGAAGCGAGAGCCAAAATAAAACCAGAAAAATACAATAAACAGCTAATGGAGAGAGAAAACATAAAAGTTACCTGCTGTTGATTTTCCCTTTGTATTTTCAAGCGGGCTTCAATGCATTGTCTTGTTTCTAAAAAAGCTTTCCTCTGGGCGACTTCTCTTGGATAATGGGTACAGACGCCTGCGAGATTAGCGCACAACAAAATAATAAAATTGCTGATTACCTGGAACAACAAATGAGAGTAAATCCTATTGAAAATTAGGTCCGTGTTTCTGAACTTGGTGTAAATATTGAAATTGACCATGCGAGTGTCAACAGAATGTAGAATAGAAAATAAATAAATTATACCGATTTTAAATTTGCAATAAATATGTGGAAATTGCCGTAAATCATAAAATTAAATCGGACTCACCATTTGTAATGTATGTAGCTTTTCATTCGGGAAATTGAACTGAATCTAGGAATACCCAATAGGGATATTTATTTAACTTAAAATGATCGTATTTTGCTCATGGTTTTCATTTTACCACTAAGCTTTTGATAGGAAGATAATGGCAATATTGGTCATAATGAATATTTAAATTGCGATCTAATTTGGTTTAGCTCATAAAACCGTCCGCTGACTGGCAATTTAAATTTATAGAGATGTAATTTTCGATGTTTTATATAGGGAGATCCAACTTTGGAGCCTATCTTTTGCAAGGATATGTTTGCAGGGTGATTCAAATTGGCTCTACTCCTCTGAATCTGTTGTCTGACATTTATTAAGGAGTATAGAAAAATTACTGAATATTCTCATAAAAATACAAATAATAAAGTTTATAACAAATGAAGTTTTTCCTATTAAAATTAGGTAAATACCTGTTGCTTTAGTAATCAAACGTGTGAAAAAAACTGAAAAACCAAGTGAAACTAAAACCAAAGAGAAAAACGCCGATTAATTTATAAATTCGTCACCCCAATCGGAGGAGAAAATGACTCGTTTTACTTCATAACATCTGTTTTTTTTTTGCTTACAAGATTGGATCTCATATAGTTACATAAATCTCCGGTGGAGACATTTGTAATAACAGTAGATAAGGAGCCATCTTTCAAACTATGGCGAAATTTTCTTAAAATTTGGAGGTCTAATGAAATATATGGAAAACCTACCTATCAATGCCTTTAATGCCTGGTAAAATTTTCAATTAAATGTTATTTGCATTTAAAATGCAACTGACTAGTAAAGTGAGATTAGTCAATATTTGATTTACAAACG